GCACAGCGGTTTCTAGTGATGACAGAAGAGAGATAAGCACTTCCCCACTGCTAATCTCTCCTCCTTCTCTCTCTAAAGGCGGAAGTGACGTGTGTTACATCACTTCCGCCTTTAGCTGTCATTTCTCTGGCTGCTATGACCAGAGAAGAAGCTGGTGAAGCAGATCTCTGCTTCATCAGCTTCTTTGGGGGTCCCTAGGTGACATTAGGGGTCTTAGAGACCCCTGATGTTTCAATAAAGAGGACCTGTCATTGTATATTGGCAATCACATAGGGGGCTTGTTAGCCCCCCCTATGTAAGAGCAATAAAGTTAAGTGTAAAAAAACAAAAACTAAAAAACAAAAACTAAAGTCACATATGCAAAAAGTAAAAAAAAACAACAAAATGTAAGCCCCCCACCCCCCGCGGGTGCGCCTACGTGCAAGAATGATTACGCCACACATGTTACATATCACCACGAACATCAGAGTGAGAACAATAATTCTAGAGCCATTAATCACTGATGACACTAAACTGATGAGCCTTAAAAGCTTTTAAAAAGCTTTTAAAAGCTTTTAAGGCGTCGCCTAAGGCTTGACAGTTGTTGCCAACTGTGATTGTCCTAAAACTGTCTCCTAACTCTAACCAAGTCAAAGCTATGAGGAATGTGAACTATGAATTTCTGTAATTTGATACAGTTATGTACAATAGGAGTTGGAAGAATTTCAGAAGTCAGGCAGTTGACAAGGCAGCAACTGTCAGACTTCAGGTGACATCTGACCCCCGACTAAGCAAGTAAAGCGCTTAATATGGCAGCAGATACAGTAAGTAATTTAGCAGAATTGTAATAATTTAAGACTGAATATTCAAATCCTTGCATAAGCCAAGTCATGACTGGTTGTCTGTAAGACTAGAAATGGTAAGTGGAATCAAAATTTAAAAAAAAAGCCCACTTTTAGAAAGCACAGCAATATGCTTTACAAAGCTGCTTAGTGCTCTGCTAGCTATGCTGGCTCCAAAGCCAGTGAAGTGCTATTAAAATGAACACCAGTTTTAGAATGAAAAAAAGCCAGGAGAGAGCCTGGTCACTTGACCTGTCGGCAATCTGACTGGCTCTCCTCCAATCATGAAGCTGTCTTTACTGAGTTAAGCAGTGAGAACACTTAAGGATACTACAGACTCCGTACTGTGGCCTGTAATATGCAGGCCATTGTATAGAGTAATTTGGTGGAATCTCTGTTTGTAAATCAGCCCACGAAGCTATGTGATGACTGGCCATCTTATTGGAATAAGTAAATGTTTCTGAATTGCACTGTGCCATGTTATCTCCTGTATTTCGGTCCAATAATGACCAGATGCAGCACCCTAGGCACCGGTACAATAAGGGGCAGTTTAGTATGCTGATATCATGTGATCACCTGCATTATGTAATAGGCTAACATGCTATTCTGCTCCTTGGGGTTGCATGGGTCGTTGTAGGGTTTTTTCTTATTTTATAAGGTTTTTAAAGAGTTCCTTGAAATACATAAATTTGTGAACTTGGAATATGCACTGTGTATTTTTGTGTTACTTTATTTAACTATAAAACCTATTATGCTTTTCAATTATTTAGTTTTGCAGTTAGAGTGTTTCATATATTTGATAAATCACTTAAAACCAGGGACCATTGGGTTGCTTGTTTGTTTATTCACATACTTGTTTGTTTATTGTTAAGATATAATGGAGGAAGGTGGGGAAAATTCACAGTTTCACTTATGTGGAACAAGCAAAGTTTAGAAGACCTAGGTGAAAAGCACAAGATTCTGCAATCTGTCACATGAGTTATACCACAAAGCAACCACAAAGCGTACTTCTGCTTGTTCTAAGAAAGGTCAGCTATCAGAGAAAACAACTTCAGTGCATGGAAATGTAATTAATCAAGAGTACATCAGTTTATACATACTGATAATTGATTAATAACACGAAAATTGACTTTCCCATAATAAATACATAAAAATTAACTTTTCTATAATAAATAAATGCTCTGTACCTTTAAATAAAGATGTCTCATTTCTTTTGATGCCATATGGCTAACTTTTTATGTAGATACCCTGTTTCCACAAAAATAAGACCTACCCCGAAAATAAGACCTAGTACTATTATTGGGAATTGCTAAAATATAAGACCTACCCCGAAAATAAGACCTAGTTGTGACCATTCCCAGGGCCGGTGGTGGCATAAGGGGGAACTTGAAGAGCTGCGGGAGAGGGAGGAGAGAATCAGCGGTGCCAATGAAACTAGCGGTAGAGGAAGTGAGGTGGCATCGGAGGGAGCAGAGCCGCATAAGCCGATGCCTCCTCTAGAGAGCCATCTCCTGTCACAGGCGGAGTCATACCAAATGCACTCCACCTGTGAGGAATCGATAGTGAAAGTGCGCTTTGCTCATTCTGGCCAGCGATTGGTTAGCAAATTTGGAAAGGTACGGCACCACTGATCACCATATTTTTGTACATGAATAAGTGTGGATGGTTGTACATTAAAAATAAGATCTACCCCGAAAATAAGACCTAGTGTGTTTTTTTGAGCCAAAAAAAATATAAGACAGTGTCTTATTTTCGGGGAAACACGGTATAATATATGATGAGATAAAGGGCAGACTGCCCCTTTAAATGTAATCTATTTATAAAAGGTTTGCAGAACTATTCATCCTGTGAACATCTTAGTTTCCAATTTGTACTGTATAATGGCCACCAAATGGAGTCGAGAAGCATAGGAAATTTCTATGCTCCATGGTTCCATCTAGTGCTCATAATTGGGTGTGACCAAAAAATAAGATGTTTGCAGGGCGAACAGCTCTGCGAATGTTTTATAAATACACATCACATGTCCATTTCAGATATGCAGGTCTGAACAAAAGATTCAGAATGGGGCTCTTTGAAATGAAGCTCTTAGTCTGTCAAAACATTCTCTTTCTTTATATGCTGTAATATTTCATATATCACATTTTATTAACACTTTGTATTGGAGGTTTAACCCCTTCATGACTGAGGCCCTTTTTTCAATTTTTGCACCCATGTTATATTCCACATTTTAGGCCTGAAAATGGCGTAAAACCCCCCAACATTATATATTTTCTGAATGCCAAGACCCTATAGAATAAAATGGTGGTAGTTGAAAATTTTTATGTTGCGCAATATTAGCGCAACTCCTTATTAAACCCCAAAATTTAGTGACAAATTTAATTAAATGCCCCAAAACACAACAAATTACCCATTTTTTTAATGAAATATAAAAGATGAGGTTACAACGAGTAAAACGATACCCAACATGCCCAGTTTACAGATTGCGTGCGACCACCCGATGCTGGCGACGTACACTGTACGTCGTCAGTCACGAAGGGGTTAAAGCTGAACTCCTCCAGGTAAACAGCTAAATACACATGAACTACATGTAAGGGAGTTGCTGTACCTGCCAAAGAATCTGTATGCTTATCCTTTCATTTCTGAGATTTGCATAGATCTGCCACAGTACAACCCTGTCTGCCTGTCTGACAGGGCAGGGGACCTTATATAGCTCATTGCATTGTTACTCATGCAATGATGTATTAATGCATTAATGTGTGTCTTTTATATCGGACTAGCATTCAGCTTTGAAGTATACCCTGTTTCCCTGAAAATAAGACCTAGTACTATTTTTGGGAATTGCTAAAATATAAGACCTACCCCGAAAATAAGACCTAGTTGTGACCATTCCCAGGGCCGGTGGTGGCATAAGGGGGAACTTGAAGAGCCGCGGGGGAGGCAGGAGAGAATCAGCAGTGCCAACGAAGCCAGCGCTAGAGGAAGCGCGGCGGCACCGGAGGGAGCAGAGCCGCATAAGTCGAGACCTCCTCTATAGCGCCGGCTCCTGTCACAGTCGGAGTGATACCAAATGCACTCCACCTGTGAGAAATCGATAGTGATAGTTCCTTCGCTCACTCCGGTTACCAAATTGCTCTTGGAAAGGTACGGCACCCCTGATTGCCCTGATCACCATATTTTTGTACATGAATACATGTAGACTGTTGTATATGAATAATTGTGGATTGTTGTACATTAAAAAAATAAAATAAGACCTACCCCAAAAATAAGACCTAGTGTGTTTTTTTGAGCCAAAAAAAATATAAGACAGTGTCTTATTTTCAGGGAAACACGGTATGTACACCCTAACTAAATTTGGTCTGCTAAAACACTGTGTCTTATTGCCATTTTTTTTATAACATCATTTAAAAAAAAAAATATCCTTTGTTTTATATCAGCAATGCTTAGCTCGTAAAGCCACTTTGCAGCCACTTCCTGTCCACATGCATGCATTCCAGCAATCGCTGCATGGCAATTCTCATGGAGGATTTTCTCATGGTGAGAACAGTAGACCTTGTGATAAGGTGACAACCACAAGCACATTTAGGTGACATGGACAGTGTTGTCATCCTATAAAAGAAAGTGCCTGAACAAGGACCTTCATGGCAGGAGACATGTTGTTAGGAGACATGTTGTTATTTTAATGAAAGCTGCAGATTTAAAGAAGAACTTTAAAGAGTTCAAGGGTTAAGTACACATTTTGTCTAGGGGGCTCAAATAAAGCTGTTTTACTCACCTGATCTTCAGTTGGCACTCCCCTTTCTCCCCCTCCGAACCTGCTGTGGAATATCCATCCACATAAGACGGTGTCAGCAGTCCTTAGACAACTGTAGCCCAGGGAAGAAGAGGCTGTGGAGACCAAACTAGCGGCCCAGCGGGACCAAGGATCAGGTGAGTATATCTGCCTTATTTTAGCCCAATAAATAAAATGAGCACTTAGCCCTTGCAGTGCGGGGGTAGCCCACATACAAACAAAAATGTTCATGTGGTTTTCAAGTTGTAATGAGAAAATGTTTGGGGCCCTAATCTGGCAAGAATTGCTCATAGCAAGTTTAAAAGTAAATAATTTATGAGATTTTTAGATTGGTTACAACTCTGATCCTAAATGTGTCATATAATAATAATAATTTCTTTTTTTTCTAGGGAGAACACTGGATGTTTCATATCCATTGAGCAATGTCCCTTTGTCTTGGGTTTATCCAGTGAAGATTCAGAGCTGATTTTGCATGAATGTGTCCAGCTGACTCAGGATTTGAAGACAAAGGAGAGATACCTCTTCCTCTTCAGTGATATGATTATAATTGCCAAGCTGAAGTAAGAATTTAATTATTTTTATATTTATTTCTTTAGTTTTGTGACATCCACTCCACTTCCACTGGGTTGGCTTCATTTTTTTCTTCATGGGTATTTTATAAGTTCCAGTTGTACCAGTGACTCTGTATGGTAATAGTTACTAATAATCATAGAATTGTCCTGCTAGGTCACTCGTATACATGATACCGCAAATAGAATAGCGATGATCAGTTTGAATCTTGTTTTCTGGACTGTTAAAGGTAGCATATGACACAATAAAACCTGGAATAACCTGCATGGTTGGAGAAGCCTACATCCCAGGAGTGGAGATAGGCCCATTTCACAAGGACGCTGTACAGATCCCCTGCTGATCCAAGCAGTATGGAATGGATTTGACTTTTGTGACATCTGTGTCCATTCAGTTTTTTTTACCTCCATTGCAAGAAAGAAGGAAAAAGTGAGCTATACAGACCCATATTGGGTCTATGAGGAGTTGGGTGTAAGGGGACATGAGTCTGGGGTAATCGGAAGTAAACAGATGCATGTCTGTTTACATCCAGCTGCCCATAGAGTTACATTGGGCTTCCAATCAGATCTGCCTGAAAAACTGACAGATGGATCTGATCGGACCACCCATGTGAAAGGGCCTTAGGCTGCTGTGTCTGTGAAATACAAAGCTGCATTAAATGTTGCCTTTTCAACTTTATTCATTTTTTTCCATCTGTATTAAACCATTGGGCCTTATACACTGAACATATGCAGAGCATTCCTAATCCTTTTTGGTTTAAAACATCTATCTATCTATCTATCTATCTATCTATCTATCTATCTATCTATCTATCTATCTATCTATCTATCTATCTATCTATCTATCTATCAGTCTACCTACTCTATCTGTCTGTCTGTCTGTCTGTCTGTGTACTGTATCTGTCTATCACAGTTAGGGGGGATTGATAACAAATTAGAAAGTCTTTTATGTTGCAAGAGAATTGGAAGTCCCACTTCATAACAGTCTTATTTCGTAACAGCTATTCAGAGGAATATCCTCTGCTAGATAGAAAGTGAAATTACACATAAAGCATCTCTACAGAATATATAAAAGTTTACAAGTCTTGTTTTGCACCTTAGAATAAATAAAATACAATAGTCTAAGGAGAACCAGTCAGAAATAGGAATAGGTAACTAGCTGGGGACATACTGAAACATTTACTGTGAAAATAGCTTAATGTATAAAAAAGTGCCTAAACCTCCATCAATTGTCTTGAAACTTTGCACGACCAACGTTTTTAACTTCCCAAACCTATCCTAGAAGTTTCATGGATTTTGGGCAAACGGCTAAAGCCCACCCCAGTGGGGGGAGCCTCGTTATGGAGTTGGGCGAGGACCTGGGTCTGTAGCATCAGGCGATAACCAGAAATCATACTTTTCTGTACGTTAAGCCACATTAAGATCCCCCAAAAAACAAGCTTAAGGTCACTCATTTGCCTTGTGGAAAACCAAAATCCATGAAACTAGGATAGGTTTGGGAAGTTGAAAACTTGAGTGGTGCACAGTTTCAAGGCAATTGATTGAGGTTTAGGTATTTTTTTTCCACATTAAGCTACATTAAGCCATTTTCACATTAAATGTTTTGGGATGTCTCACAAGCTGAATCTCTACTTTTACATTGATACCATAGTGCAGCCCTCTCTCAGGGGTACCTGTGTTGTGTTATTTTGTTGAATTTTTTTATTTTCAGAGCTGTGTGGTGTAGTCTCAGTGCTAAAGATAGGCACTTTCTCCAGGTTGCTGAAGGAGAGTAACCTTCTCAATTAGCCAAGCCTTTCACTGTGTTTTATGTCATTCTGACACTTTTAATAGAATAAATATAACAAAAAAGATCACTTTCTAAAGGAGAAGACTGCACCATTATAATAAGAGTGGAGATTCATACTATAACTAATGCTAACTAATGCAAATTAGACTCTAAGTAATACATCTAGCTAGAAAAAGACAGCTTTACATATAAAGTAATACACTCCCTTTGTAATATCCTTATGTGATGAGCATATTTCCCAGTGAGTAAGTTTAAACTTTAACTCTAGCCAGACAGAAGGCATAAGAAATTAATGTAGCTCTGTAATCATTAATGCATTGATACATGTATTTTTGAAGTGCAAGCAGTGTAAGCACCTGAATTTGACCTTTTGGTGCTGGCCACTAGACTAAGGTCATCTAGTAGCAGAAAAACAAAGTACTTCAGGGGAAATCTCTAGATTGGCGGTGATATTCTGAGTATTGCAGCAAAACCTGTTTTTGTTATTTTGCTATTCATGGGGTGTTCATTTTTCTTTGGAATTACATTTCTTATGTCCTTTATTTCTGCAGTGTGTTATATATTTTTTCCAATACTTTAAGATGAAATAAACAAATCAATATGATTTTAATTTTGTTGTCCCTATAGAAATTAGCAAATTCAACAGTGTTAAGATTCTGCTCCGTTTGCTTAAAGAAGAACTTTGAGCAAAACGTTTCCTATCCCTTGCGCTGGGGCTACCCCCACACTGCAAAGGTTAAGTGCTTGTTTTGGTCTAGATGCAAAAATAACAAAGTTATACTCACCTGAACCTCACAGCCAAATGGCTGTTCGAACGCTCCTCCATTGCAGCAATGGTATGTCCCTCAGCATCCTCACATCCTATACATTCTGTATTAGATGTGATGACTGACAGGATCTTAGACTGCTGCAGCGGAGAGGGGGAGAGGCGGGATGGTCAAGTCTAAGAGCCAGCCAGCTGCTAGGATTGGGCAAGTATAACTTTATTTTAGCACCTAGACGAAAAGGAGCACTTAATCCTTGCAGTGCGGGGGTAGCGTTAGGGTTAAGAAATGTTTTGCCTGAAGTTCTTCTGTAAGGAAGATGTTTGGGAGCTTTTGCAAGTTTGGGGACATTCAGAGAGCTGGTGACATGCATAATAGTGAGCCTGCTAATTATAATTAAGACAGGCTTAGGTTTTAATCCCCTTCCATGGCACAGTCCCCCCCCCCCCCACC